TTCCGGATCGGCCATGATACCGCAGGCGAGAAACAGGGAAACTCATCCTGAGCAGCACACAAACACTCACAGCCAAGTAAAAACAAGTAAGTGTGCTTGATATTGAGTAAGAAGAAGGTTTTATAACGCTTGTGAGAATGCGGTCTGCGGAGAAGAATTTCTCGCCATCCGCAACTCGTCTATTACCAGCCGTTCAGGGAGCTCACTTATGCAAGTAATGGGGCTCCCTGGTTGTTAGCCAAGGGGGAATTTTTTCCCTGGTGACTGAGGTGCTCGGTCATTTGTTGTTGATCTGGTGTTCACACGCCACAGTACCCAGGAAGCAAACAATGGAAAAAGAGAAATCTCCAACGAGGCGTTCTGGGGCAGCATAGACAGGTCTTCTCTGTGTTAGAGTTTTACTCGCTACAGGGTGTACTTTGAGGGTTTGTGACTCTGCAGACCGTTTACATGCAGAAAAACCTTCATAACACACAAGGGGACGGGTGATAACCAGAAAAGCATGACATGGGCTCTTTAAAGGTCTAATGAACAACAGCTGTTACCTATTCTCTTGTCCTGTGGCTTTCCCTGGTAAGAAAAAAAGTATGCCCTTTCTGTTGCGCTAATCCCCCCTCCACTCGCTACCAGTAAATACCTGATCACACAATGCTCAAATCACCTGGTGTCCAAACCTGCCTTCAAATTAAAAGCATAACCAATTACTTTAAAGAGCTCATATTACGTGCTTTAATGTTCACAAAGCTCTTTATTTGTCTCATACTGTCTGTGCTGCAGCACCTCTTTTCACCCTCTGTCTGAAACCAGAGCCCAGTCTGCTCTGATTGGTTAGCTGGCCGGCTCTGTTGTGATTGGTCAACCGCTTAGAGATGTCCCGCCTCTTAGCCTATCACGTACAATGTGTTGGAGAGCTAACCAATAGAAGCGTGAGTGTGAAGCAGTGATGTCACTATGTCTCTTAAGTAAACAAAGGAGTTCAATGGAGGCGTTTCAGGCAGAGAGAAACTTCCTCTGGAGAGAACTTTAGGATTTTAGCCTTTGCAGACCATTTGCATGCACCTATATAACACACTACATGAAAGGGAAAACTCCAAAAAAGGCAACAGGGCCTCTTTTACTATTAAGAATATAAATCAATGAATACATTACAAACCAATACATTTGAATTCATGCATGTAATGGTCTCTGTCATCATTAG